TCTCTCTCTCTCTCTCTCTCTCTCTCTCTCTCTCTCTCTCTCTTTCTCTCTCTCTCTCTCGCTCTCTCTCTCTCTCGCACGCGCGAGCATGCGCGCGTGCACACACGTATCCAGATGGAAGTGGAAGACTGAGCGGTGGGGGATGGAGGAGGTCCGGAGGAGAGAAGAAGAGGAAGAAAAGAAGAAGAGTCCTCTCTCTCTCTCTCTCTCTCTCTCTCTCTCTCTCTCTCTCTCTCTCTCTCTCTCTCTCTCTCTCTCTCTGTGCTGGTACCAGATACTGACCGTGTAAAGGTATTGCCTTGACGTCGGTACTGGACTGCTGAAGACGAAGCTGGAGCTATGGCGCCCCAGGTGAGTCATCAGGTAAGTCCCAGTGTCTGGGCTCCGCCTCTCTCCTGCTGCAGTCTCCACTACAGCCTCCACGCTCGCTAACTCTAACCTACCGCTACTGCGCCCAACGCTGAAGACTAACACAACATAACGCTGAGTGCTAACTCACACTAACCTACCGAGTGAGAGGCAGACCAGTCTATAAATACTACTGGTCTGGCCTCTCCTAGGTCCTACTGGCCTAAACGTGAGGCCCAGAATAAATGGCCTGGGAAACAATCTGGCCGTACACTTGGATTCAATCTGACGGTCCAAGTGTGGCCTGGGAAAAAAAAACGAGGCCAGGGCCTGAATGATTACTGGTACCAGAGCCTGGCCAGGTCGAACGTGGTGTGGGCCTAAAACGGCCCTTTTTCTGGCCTGAACCGATGTAGGCCCTACTTCGGGCCATAAAAGTAATGTGCCAGACCGAAGCTAAGTCCCTACCCCTTCATACCTACCTGATGGGTCCTACTGGGCCCGTGTGGGATGTACGTATGCCACACTCTCTCTCTCTCCACTACTCTATGCTACTGCGCTGAACTTGCTACTCTCTCTCTCTCTCTCTCGCTCAGGAAGTGGGAAAGGTGGGCAGGGTGGGGAGGGAAGGTGGGCGCGGAGGGTAGGGATGGTGGGGGCGGAGGGAGGGGAAGGTGGGGGTGGAGGGGGGGGGGGAGCGCTGGGCAACGGGGGGAGAGGAGCCTGCGATTTTTCGCCGAGGTCGGCGGGCGTGTAGCAGAGGGGGAGGAACGTGGGTGGAGAGGGCAGGGAAGGTGGCCGGGAAGGGGAGGGAAGGGGAGGGAAGGCGGGCGTGGAGGGTAGGGAAGGTGGCCGCAGAGTGGGGGGAAGGTGGCCGCAGAGTGGGGAGAAGGTGGGCGCAAAGGGGGGGGGAAGTGGGCGCGGAGGGGAGGGAAGGTAGGTGCAGGGGGGAAAGGATTGTCGACGCTGTGGGGTGCGTGTGGCATCATCGTCTGTCTGTCTGTCGGTCTGCCTGTCAGTCTCTCTCTCTCTCTCTGTCTCTCTCTCGTCGTTTTTCTTTTTTTTTCAGCTGCGGCGTTTTATCTGCAATCGATAGTGTAGGTGGGGAAGGGGGGCATCGTCTTTTTTGTTTTTCTTTAACCCGCGTCGTTTTTTTCTCTGATTGATAGAGGGGGGGGGAAGGTCTGCTCCGACCGATAGTGTAGGTTGGGGGTGTAGTCGCCTTTTTTTTTTTGTTACTGGTGTCGATTCTGCTCCGATTGATAGTGTAGGTCGGGGAGGGGGGTGTTGTCGTTACGTGTACGAATCTGCGTGTGTTTTTTCTTTTTATTTCCCAGACATCGTTAGAGTCTCTCTCTCTCTCTCTCTCTCTCTCTCTCTCTCTCTCTCTCTCTCTCTCTCTCTCTCTCTCTCTCTCTCTCTCTCTCTCCACACACATGCCACCTGTCTGAATCAGCGCATGTTTTGCTTTTTTTGGGTGTACGTCGACCGCGATAGTGTAGGTGGGGGAGGGGGACATCGTCACCGTAGCTTACTCTCTCTCTCTCTCTCTTCCCCCCCGTCCCCCTGTGCCCCTTACACACTTTCACTCATGGTTCCACTCCTGCAGAGAAACAAAAGCAACAGACATAACTCCTTCAGTCACCGTGGCGGTCGTCCGAAAGCGTCGGCGCAATGCACATCCCAATCCTCAGCGTCCAACCTTCAGGATGCAGAGCCCAAACTTCAGCACGTAATTGAACTTAGTAACAGAGCCCAACCTTCAACATGTAAAAAGCTTAACGACAACAATGTGCATTTGTGTGTTGTGGGCGGGTGGGTGGGTGGGTGTGTGTGTGTGGCTGCAAATGTGTGTGTGTGTGTGTGTGCGCGTGTGTGTACGTAGACGAAAGTCCAAATAGCTTTGAGAGAGTAGCAAAGTCTAGGGTAGAGCCGAGCTTAGAATATCATTGAAGTCGAGTGCAGCCGGCACAGAGAGAGAGAGAGAGAGAGAGAATAGCAAAGTTGAGTGTAGAGAGTCGAGGTCGAGCGCAGTATCACAGTCGTAGAGAGTTGAAGTCGAGCGCATAGCGTAGAGTAGCGTCGCAGAGAGTCGACGTTTAGTTAGAGTAGCGTCCAAGTCGTGCGTAGGCAGCCATCATCCAAATTAGCCGTTTGGTCGCCTCCCCCAAAAAAGTTCGTTACGTGGCCCTGCGCGGCACTACCTTGGCCTGGGGAGTGCAAATTTGCGCTGGTGCCGTGCGCGACACTAGCGGGGCCTGTGGAGTGCAAATTTGTGGCCGCCTCCCTAAAAAAAGTTAGTTACAGACCCCAGGGCCTACCGGCCAAGCGCGACACTACCGGGGCCTTAGACTGCAAATTTTTGCTGGTGCCGCGTGCAGCACTACGGGGGCCTGGAGAGTTGGAATTTGCACAGGGCAGGTACGCCCTGGCCCCGTAGCACCGCACACGGCACTAGCCGGCCAGGGCCTACCGGCCCAGCGATCTTCTCGAAAACGATCAACACGCAATCTGCACCGTGTGGTACAACGCCGACGATGGTGCAGATCGCGAGTTGATGGCGTTGAAAACGATCAGCAGCCAATGTGGACTGTTGCGCACCAGGGAAACCAAGGCCCTAGATCAACTGCTGGTCACACACTGTATAATTGTATTGATCTTGCAGATGCATTTGGTCGATGATACCCTCCTGCTGGCGTGCCACCTCATCTAGTCGTGCACAAGGACCATATGAGGAAACTGAACTGGACACGGCGAGCAATGTTCATGGGTGTGCATACATGGGCCTGTGTGTGTGTGTGTGTGTGTGTGTGTGTGTGTGTGTGTGTGTGTGTGTGTGTG